TTTCTTTTTTTTTTTTCGTTTCAGCCCTCATTTTTTTAAAAATAACTGAAGAAACCCTACCATATCCCCATGTATCTGACCATATCCGAGCCCAAAAAATGTGTATCTCCTGTTTAGGACACTTTTGGAAGTGTTGGACACCCGTCCGACACTGCCACTGCGACCCCCCAGCCAGTATCCGTGCTTCCTAGGTGGTACTGTATATATATATATATATATATATATATATATATATATATATATATATATATATATTAAATTCAGGTTGCAGTTTCATCCATATCAGTCTTATGTTGCCAAGTCTATTGCTACTTGTTTGATAAAATAAGAAATAAAACAAAAAATATATCTTTATTTATTGAATTGTTCCTTGTAGCACATGATGAACCTTTGAGGAGAAACCTATGAAGTATGGATATGAGATACGGGTACGATACGGATACGGAGATATAAAAAAAAATTAAAATAGTAGGATATAGATACAACCATAATACATTTATAATAAAATATATTTTATATATTACTATTATCTTCCAACTTAATAATTATATATTTTGGTAATTCTTTAATAATAACTAACAAAATTAGTAATTTTTTACTTTTGAAACGTATATAACGGCTCATTATGGTATTTCACAAAGTGAAGGCGAGTAATTAAAGAAATTAGAACCAATATTTACTTTGTTGATTTGCTTAGAAGTATTTGTTGCTAAGATTATAGGATAATAAATTCATGTTATGCTCTTTCAACATGTAATAGTAAATAATACATAAAAAAACTCATCTGTCTTCAAAGTCATATAAATTTTTATTGATGTATTGCATTGTATATAAATTCGAAAGGAGATGATGAAGATATTGTGCCGATACAAAAGTATCTATAAGGTATTCACATATTTTATTATTATCGAATACATAAGGGATGTATCCGATAAGGATGCGTTGACCTCAGCGAAGTATTCGTGTTTTATAGCGAGGAATATATTGTGAGGCACATTGCATGATAATAAGTTTGGGAAATAGTGATAAATACTACTGATATTTCTATGCAATCGAAATTCCTGCAGAACAAAGAAAGAAATTAACATCTTAAAGTTTGGGAATTAAGTGGCGAGATTCGAAAATAAAATTTGGTGTCCATTAAGAAATCTGTGGAGATCTTTGAGAAACACATGATAGGACTCTATTTATTTTATAACTGAGTTCTATGATTATACGTGCCTAAGGTCATGTTGTATTAGCCATCTATAGGTACACTTAAGAATTAGTATTTATCAAACGAAAATGATGGGTTTGAGCATTTTGATCCTTAGGAGCAAAGCTTTAGATGAAAAATGGAAAGATTTTCAAAACACTTGTGGTCTAGAGCAGATATGATCTCCAACGGCTAGTGGAAGACGTGCGTCCCATGCATATAGGGATTGTTATCAAGGTTATTGAATATCATTGTTTGAGAAACTTGTGTGTACACTTTTCATTGGTAGTGGGTTTGTACTCAAATTCATGGAGGGCTTTTAGTGGTGTAATTTCTTTTATTTTACTATTATGTAAATAGTATTGGTGAGTTTATACTCAAATCACAATAGAATTAGGACCTTTACTTTAATTGAAATCTGAATAATGCAGAAGTTTTGGATGAAATGCAATTTCTTGGTTTTTGAGTGTGATAGAGATAGATATATGGGTTTCTAGAGAGAGAAACATTTTCCTGAAGACAAATTAAAAATTGGGTTGTGGAAAAAAATATTTAAGAGAGAGAGATGATACACATGGGTTTTTTTTATAAATTTTTTTAAATATATACGTATCTATCACATGGAATCGAATTTAAAAGTTCAAGGGCAAAATGAAACATGTTAAATATGATTTCACTAGGAACTCCATGATGCCCTTTTTGGAACACTTACGCAATCGTAGGTAGCATTCTTGTTGAATTTGTGACAGAAACTGACGAAGAGCAAAACTAAAGCATGTTATAGAATTTGAGCACTAAAATGAGTGCATAAATTTTTTAGATTGCAAATTAGAATAAGGGGTAGAGTTCATTGGGGCAACAATGTTTTGATCCTATATTTTATGCAGTCATGAGAATCCAGGGGTGACCCTAGACATTTCAAGGCTTAAAGTGCAAACAATAAATGAGGTTTTTTTTAAATTTTTTTTTTTTTGAAAAGCAAAAATATTAATTAAGTTTTTATATTCAAGTTTTTGTTATTATAGTTGCACTTGATGGTAAGAGAGAAAGAGGGGGGAAGAGAATGATTGAAAAATTATGATGGTAAATTTGAATTTGACTTTTTTTTGGGATTAAGACTTGATTTTTAGTAGCTTACTTTTCCTTTTAGTTTTTTTTTGTTTTCAAAAAATTGAATTTTAAGTCCTTTTAATTTCATGGGCTGAATTAATAGGTCCAATCCACTGGAGTTGAAATTTTTTATTTGAGTTTAAATTTAAGTTTTTTGTGGGGCCTATTTTTTATATTTAGATTTTTTGTTTCAGCTATTACTACACACCTAAAAATTATGGGACCTTCTTTCAAGTAGGGCCTAAAGCCCAGGCTTTATTGACCTAATGGTTGGCCCTGTGAGAATCTTTGAGATCTGCTTTTGTCTTTTAACCCTTCTAATAATAGATACTCTGTAGGTTAAACTATGCAGCTAATGATATCATTATAGTCGGCATGAATTTTCTTTGCTGCTTATCTTTTGGCTGTCATTGTCTCTGTTTTGATAATTTACCTAGCATGCACAAAAATGAGCTGATTCTTTGGATGTGTTCATGTACATTCACTTACAAGCTTGTATTCATTGTGCTTGGATCATTTATTCAGATCTCCATGTATTGTAGCCTCAAGCTGAACCAACTATGACTAACTAAATACTCACAACTAAACCAGTACCCGGTTTGCATCAAATATGTATTTCACACTTGTTATCTTAAGTGAAAGTATAGAATGATGTAGGCCTGCAATAATTATACATATATTGTATGCATCCATCAGGCTAATTGAGATTGGCTTTTGCCTTTAACCGTCATACTGAGAGAGAGACTACACACTTTCATGAAACTATGTATCTATTTATGAACATTATTGGAATCATTATCATTACTACCATTGGAATGTGCTTTTCTTCTCATCTTTTTTTTTTTTCATTGTTGACCTGACATACGCTAAATCTGTTTCAGTTATCAGTCAACCTTAAAACAACTTTTTCAAGAATTCATAAATGGAGATGACTCAAACTCTCAGCTGGCCACGGTAACGATGCGAATAATGCAGGCTCTTCAAACAAATTTGGATGGGAAATCTAAGCAGTATAGAGATCCTGGTCTTACTCACTTGTTTCTTATGAACAACATTCATTATATGGTCAGATCTGTGCGCAGGTTTGTCATAAAGCACATATTTTCAGGTTACTTACTAAAAGAATCTGCTTCTCTTGTAATGCATGGGAATGCTGGAACTCTTAATTTTGTTGTTTCTAGGTCTGAAGCCAAGGATTTGCTAGGGGATGACTGGGTGCAAAGACACCGGAGGATTGTGCAGCAGCATGCCAATCAGTATAAGAGGATCGCTTGGGCAAAGGTGTGGTTCTATTTAGTTAACTCAATGCACAACTGTTGATCTAAAATTGATATGTGGATTGCAATGTTTACTATTGCTGCTTGAAGTTGTTCCTAAAAGCTAGTAATCGAGATGTGTGGTCATTTACTTAACACCTGATTCTACATGAATTTATGAACAGGATTGCATCTTTTTGTTGGTGTTTAATTTGCTTGTGGTGCTTCATAAAACCACTATGCCATTAGATAAACTACTATTTTTAAGCATGGGCATGCTTGCATTCACTGACACACACATGTGCTCTTTCACTATTGTTAATGCCCTTCCCTGTCCTATCTCAGTCCATATGTGAATGTGGTTAACTTGGATTATTCCAGCCAAGCAGATTTATAACTCATTATTTTGTTTTCAAGTTCCTTCCGTTTCCGCTATAGTACTTTTGGTGCCCCATATTCTCAATGTTTGTATCATGGAGATCTGGATGCCATTAGGGTTTAGGACTAGTTTCCTCTAGGTTTTATAAAAAGGGCAGATCAGTGCACAAAGCTCTCACACTGTAGAGTCTTAGGAGGATCAGATGTACGCAGTCTTATCCCCGCATGCAGAAAGGCTGTTTCTGCGACTCAATTCCTTGACGCCTTGGTCCCAATGGATCAACTTAACTGTTACGCCAAGGCCCACCCTCTTCCTCTTGCTTTTATAGTGGGTGATAATGTAATTCTTAAGATGTACATCCAAGTATATACAATTTGTTTCAATGTTGCATATAAGCTGAGGTCATTGTGCAGCGGCAGAGGAACATTGGGGCCAGGGGGCCATGGCCACCCATCCTGATCTTGAAAAAGACTATAATATGCATTAACTTCATGTCCCTATGTTTTTTCTTTGGCAAATGATAATGGGCACTGATTTAGATCGGAAAGGAGGGACAGTGGGTGGCAAGCGGACACAAAAATGGAGCTAAAGAGGAAAAAGAGAAAGGAAAAGAGGAAAGAAGGAGAACAACCCAACCACCACTCTCTTCTCGTTTCTTTTGCAACCTGACCACCTGACTGGTAACCTGTTCTCCTCTTTTCCCACAACTGGCATCCCCTCCACACCTTCTCCTTGTTAGCATCCAATTCTCCCTTCAACTGGTATCCGCTCTTCTCACCCACCACCCTTGGCATCCCTTTCCTCTAAGTTGGCTTTGGTAACCCCTCCCCCCTCCAATCACCTTCCTCAAGATGAAATTCTTGCTTTGTTCCTATACATGTGTTTATGTACTTATGTATGCATCATTTATTTTTAACAATGAAGACGAGATGTGAAATTCCTTTTTTTGCTCCCTTGTTTTGGTTGAGAGTACTGTTGCCCCTAACATTGCCCGTTGTATCTAAAAGGAAGTTTTCTTACCTTAGGTTGGTTGGGGAATAAGATAGTGGAGCCAATCTCCTAAGCCATAAGAGAGAAGGGTTGGGGAAAACTTTGATTTGACTACAAGCTCCATGAAGTATCCTTTGCTTCCTCGCTTTTCAAAGACCAAAGAAAGAGCAAAGGAATGCAGACTCACCCAGTGAGTATATGGATTTCGTGTCAAAGTTTCCAATGAGTATTCGTGGAATTTGTCTAATTGGGGTTTCCTTTTGAGTGACATATTCACAGACTTATGATCATAAAACAACATCTGAAAACTAGAATAAGGATATCTTTGGCAACAATTTACTCCTCAAACAATTTTTTTCTCAAGTTAGTATTCAATCCATGCGACATGATTTTGTCGGCACTTTGTATCATTATTCATCTCCCTTGCACTCTTTTTAAATGACTCATCTCATCTCTCTTCTTCCAAAACATTTTTGTCTCGTAAGCTTTAAGTGTTTTGCTCTTTCTTGTCAAGAAAATATTTCGCCTCTCTAGGAAAACTATTTTTCTCTCACTTCTAGAAAGTATTTATCTCCCCTTCTAAAAAATAATTTTTCTTATCTCTCTCAAAAAACTAATTTTTTCTCTCTTAAAAGTTTCACACATAATCAAGAAAAAAATAAAATAAACAACAATTAAAAATTAAGACAGTAACCTGCCACTACCAACCTCCGTCACCACTTAGCCTACAAGTCTCCAACAACCTCACCACCACCCAACCTAATATCCTTTTTTTCTAGATTTCTCTTGAAGAACTTGTCAACACATTGTATTATCAACCTCCGTTACCTGCCAACCACCACCAGCTTCCACCATCGTCCATATTCACCCCCACCACCACCACCATCTCCGTCTTCACCAAACAATACTAGTTCACATATGCTATATAAGATGGTGTTAATGGTCAATTGGATTGGTTCGATTTGTGGGTGTGTTGCATTTTATTTACGGTTTTGAGAATGACCATTTTGTGATCACTTTTGAGCTTTGGCGCTCCATTTTCTTGGGTTCTTTGCGGAGAGAGAAGGTGAGAGTATGGAGAGGGAGAATAGCAAGGTAGGGGAGAAGAATAAGAAGAGGAGAGAATATGGGTTAAGAATTACATATAGGTCTTGGCGGCTCCATGGAATGTGTTTTTATGGGTGGTGTGGTCGGAAAGAAATAACAAAATTTTTGAAACAAGAGAAGAAAAAATGAAATTTCTTTGGGATAAAGCCAAGATCAAAATTTCATTTCGAAACTGTCGAAACGTCTAAAACGTTTCTGTTTCCATGGAGACCAAAACGAATTAATAATGGAATTGAAATTATAATATTTCGAGATATTTCATGTTTTAAAATGTTTTGTTATATTTTAATGCATTTGCACAATTGTTTCAGAATGTTTCAAAGTATTTCAAGATATTTTGGTATATTTCGACCAATATTTTAAAAGAAATAATTTTTAAATTTTTTATTTTTTATTTCATTCTGTTTCCGAAATAGGTCGAAACGTTTTTGAAACACGTCGAAACATATTCGTTTCTTAGGTGACCAAAACAATGAATCGAAACAAAACTTTGATTCTTAGTTAAAAGCAAAGTACTTGGCGTCCCTGTGGGCTACAATGACAAAAGGATGTGCCTTTTTACTTTCTAACTATTGATTCGATAGCTGCTTTCTAGTGGTGAAATTGGATTATACTGTTTTTCTTTTGATGAGTTCCCTGTTTGGTTCATTATAGGTTGGATATCTTGTCCACCTATTATGTTAACCTCTATTTAATGAACGAAAGTTTTGTTTCTTTTCAAAAAATAGAAAAAAAAGTGTTACTGATAGGTCTTGTAGATGGTGAATTAGATGAGGAGAGAGAAAAAGATTGTGGTAGTTGTAGTCCCAGCTCATTGTTTGTGTTTATGCAATTGTGTTTTGTAGTCGAGTTTGTAGAAAGAGAGAAGATATGAGCTATTGAAAGAGGGAGAAGAGGGGATAATTTTTACAAACAAGTAGTTTGTTTATATTTCATTCGAGTGGTTGGTATCACAGCATCTATACAGGAGATAGGGTTCGGACTCTTGATTCTTTTTGTCCATTAGAATAAGGGGAAATCTTTGGTAAGTTCATAGTACTTATAGTGTCCTTTGCGCAATTTCAGCCCTATGGATAACATCAATTGTAGGTTTCCTTTATGATAGTGTTCTTGTTTGATGATAAACTAAACCTCCATGTTCTTTTCCTCAACTTAAAAAGAAAGCTGAAGAGCCTTCCTATACAACATGCAGTGTTGTTGAATGACGTAGATACACTCTTCATGTAATCAAATTGCATCCTCTCATGCTGAATTTTCCTCTGTTACATCCTTGTATTGCTGAATAATATTTTATTTCTTTGCCTTATAGAAAATTGGCGCCGTCGTGTAGTTAAAACCACTAACAGTGGCCCCACAAAAATATCTTTACTTGATGTACCCAAAATAGTAGGTGCATTCTGAATTACAGTTTTGTTTGCTGTCCTCTCTGTAGATTCTGCAGTGTCTCTCCATTCAGGGCCTAGCCTCATCTGGAGGTGGTAGTGCAGCTGGTGTTGACGGACAAAATAGTAGTGGAGCTTCAAGAACAATTGTAAAAGACAGGTTAATTTCATGCTACATCCTTCTGGAGATAATCATCGAGTTTTTGACTTGTATACCGCCGTTGAAAATCTCAGCTGAGTCAAAATTTGCATTTCATTATAAGGTTGAAAACATTCAATATCCAGTTTGAGGAGCTTCATCAAAGACAATCCCAGTGGACAGTTCCTGACACTGAGCTGCGGGAGTCTCTAAGGCTTGCAGTTGCTGAAGTTTTGTTGCCAGCATACAGATCTTTCATTAAACGATTTGGGTATATTATCTCTCAATTTGCAAATCGAAACATTCATATATGTTTTAAAGGGGCAAATGATTTTAACTGTACCTTTTCTCTCTTCTCTCCCCCACCACACAAAAAAAAAAGAAAGAAGAAAACCCCCACTCCCCAACAACAAACAAAGAACCCAAATGTTTGTGGCATGATGCTTTGTTAAATATCCAAGATGAAATCACTCTGAAAGTTGTGTTCATTGCTTATCATTAATTGATAAATAAATAAACATGTCATTTCCTCACATCCTAATAGAGTCATATAGCGATTGAATATCAAGTCCAATCATATACAATTAATAAACAGGCTACTGGAAGTATACATGTTTCTGTTAATTATCATATTCTGATGATTGTGAAATTGGATTTTTGATGTAACAGGCCTCTAGTCGAGAATGGTAAGAACCCGCAGAAGTACATCAGATACACGCCAGAGGATCTTGACCGAATGCTTGGTGAATTTTTTGAGGGTAAGACCTTAAATGAGCCCAAGCGGTAGATTTTTATGACCATATTTTGCTGATGGGGTACGCTGTTCTTTTCGTTTGATGATATGTAATCCTTGGCTCATTAAGGTAAGTGGTTCCATTTCTTCAAGTTATCTTCATCCACTGCGGTGGTGGTGGTGGTACACTCTAGGCATTGTTGAAATGGTGATCTTTGGTTTTGTATTCACTAGTAATTCAAACTGGGGAAAACAAAGCGAAAGAAAATAAGTAGTACTCTATGTATTTACTATGTCAAGAGAGAAATACCACATTATTTTGATGCAAAAAGTTTCTTGGGGGTTTAAACTATGATTTTATTTAAGTGATGGTAATTCGGGGCCTAATAAGGAACTTAATTCAAAGCAATCATTGGATTAATTGTAATTTCTACAGTTACATGGCATTTATTTTTAATCCTATCACTGTATTGAATTAAGTTCTTAAATAAGGTCCATATAGCATTGTTCTAGTTTTTACGTCATAATAATTTGTTAAAAAAAACTCTATTTTTTATATTGTTCTCCACCAAAAATAGGGTGAAAAACCTGGACAAAGACATGAGAACTAAGACAAACCTCAAACTTTGTTTAAATAATTTTAGTTCGATTTCAGCCCGAATGCTTGTACAATCCTCGAATTTAAGTTGGGTGTCTGAATTTGTCTCCTTACCTTTGCTAGAAAAATTAGATTGTTTGGAAATAGAAACTAGATCTAAGAAGGATTGACTAATTTAATGTTAACCCATCCGTCCTAAAAAAAAATAATTTATTTCTTACAAGTTACCACATTTGTGTGGTGGGTAATGCAAAAAATCAGAATTATTATTAGTTAAAACGTACTAGGGTATTTGCACGCATTCTTTGTTTATTTGATATGAGATCCTTACACATGTAATACCCAATAATCTCTCTCTTTTTCATATGCGTGCTATAACGGACTTAGCTTCTGCTTTATGTTCTTTTTGGTATGAAATATGGAAAGTAGGAAGGATAGAAAGTAGAAGAAATATATATTTTCTATCCTTTAAAAAAGGAAAGTAAGAATGATATACTTTCTTTTTTTTATATTTGGTTGGATGGATGGAAAATAAAAATAATTTTTTTTTGTGCTAGCTAAAATTAGGAGTGACAATTGAGTCGTATCGTGTTGTGTCACATTCGTGTTGATTCATTACGGATTTGTGTTGAACATTAGTTAAATTTAACTCAACTTATTTAACAAATTGTGTCATGTCGAGTTGTGAGTTAACCTGTTTATTTTTGTGTTGTGTTTATATTCGTGTTGATCTACATAATCTTTGAATAAAATATTTAACGCTAATATTCTATTTTTTTATTTTTTATTTTTAAATTTATGTTTCAAATTTTTAAAAATATATATATAACTACATATTTTATCATTGTATTTTTATATAACATTAATGTATACATAATATATGTATATAATAAAAGATATATAAAAAAAATAAAATACTTTTCAACGCAAATAATTAACTTTTCATTCACTTTCTTTCTGATTTTGGAGGAATTGATTTTCGTGAGTTGAAAGAAAAGTTAATCTATCCTTTGTATTTTTTTTTTTTACCAAACATAATATTTTATTTATTTCTCTAATTTTTTATTCTTCAATATTTTTATCATAACAAACAAAAGGTTAGTCCGATCCATTACTCTCCACCCAAGGGAAAGTCTATTGACTTGCGATATTTTTGTTTTCAAAACACTGCATCATTACTCAGTAGCGGTTGATCGGTAACACACCGACAATTATTGTGACTTTAACTCCCATAATCCATTTTTTCATTCTTTAAAGCTCTCTTTGACGATGAAAAAATAAAAAGATTGAAAGTTAAAAGAACGGAAAATTTGAAAAATAAATAAAATATTATATTTGGTAAAGAAGGAATATAAGAAGGATGAAAAAGTGGATGAATTTATTTTTCTTCCAATTCACAAAAATTAATCCTCCTAAAATTAAAAGAAAAATGGATTAAAAGTTAATTATTTATATTAAGATGTATCTTATTTGTCTATATATCTAGTTAGGTTTGACTAATGTTCAATAAAAACTCATAATGACTTTGTATGAACTTGACACGACATGAATCGATTGTGACCCCTAATCTTAGATAATAAAAAAAAAAAAAAATCTTTTTTATTTTACATCCATCCTACTAAACACAAATAAATGAAAGTGTATCATTCATATTTTTCTTTTTTGAAAGATTGAAAAATGTATCTCTCTTATTTTTTATTCTTCCTACCAAATAGAGCATAAGAGGTTAATATTGATATTCTACATTGCTCGAAGAGTAAAATTAGTATCATTAGTCATCAGCTCTAATACCACATGGGAGATCAGAGGGCCCAGTGATTTAAGGCTTAATATAGATGTTTGATACTTATACGTACATAAAAGCTAAAGATTATAAGTAGCCAGAATATATTAGGGTATTTTCACTTTTTTGACTGTCCGATATGAGATCCCAACATATGTAATACCCATATCTTCCCCTTATATGTGAATCACATCGGATTTAGCTTCCTTTTTAGTTTGATCCACTATTTTTTACAAGAATACATTATGTAGAGCACATTTTTGTGAAAACTATTGACGACGACTACAAAAAATGATCGCTAAAAATATCATAAAAAAATTTACCATAACAAACAATTGAAATTGTTTTCGAAAATCACCTTTTTACAACAAATTTTATTATTTATCTTTAAAATTTGATGCTAAAAAATAAATTTGAGATAGCGAATTATATATAATTATTCTTTACAAAAGTTCGCTTTTCCAAAAAAATAAGATATTTTAACCAGCTCTTATGGGTCATCATATTCCTATTATTAATGGTCAACTGCTTTACCATTCTATCAAATAAAGTCCTATGACCCATAATATTTTTTTTCAAGGCTCCACATCATTACTCGATAGAGTTTGACCCAATAGCTTACCGACCATTACTGTAAACCAAACTCCTAGAACCCATCCTTTTGTAACAGTCCAATATCAACGTGCCATATTATTTACGGCAGTTAGTCGAACGAGTCCGAGTCGAGTTCGAGTCGAATTTAAAAACCTTATTTCTTAATTGAGTCTTAAAAATTATTCAAGTTCGGCTCGTTTAGAAAACGAGCCGAGTTTGAACGAGCCAAAAAATAAGTCGAGCCCGAGTATTTGAACATAAACAAGCCGAGCTTGTCGAGTTTAAAGCGAACTTGTAGGGTTTATTTTTTAAACGAGCCTAAAAATTTGTTTAAATTCAAACTCGTTTAAAAAATAAATCGAGTTTGAACAAGTCGAATCCAAACCGAACTCAAGATAAACTCGAATAGTTCAGTGAGTCCATGCATGATATAATAAGGAGTTTTTATTTTTTTGTCTATCCAATGTAAAATTTCCATTTAAAAAATTGATGAGACCCACCCATCTAATGATTGTCATTCACTTGAATTAAATATACATGAATCACTCTGTATTTTTATAAAAAAAAATATGAAATTATAATTGCTTGAACTAAATTCATAATCAATCATGAATATCATTTAATCAGTTATAATTTTGTATTTAAAAAAGTATAACTTGATTTTTAAAAATTATAATTTTATCTATAAAATTTATAACTTTTATAATCGATTATACCATTTTAAGGTGAATCAACACTTTTACAGTAAACTTATCTTTAAAAAATAATAACTTAATCATAAAAAATAATAAATTTTTAATACAGTTACAACTTACAAAACTCAGACACAGATCCATCTCCGGATGATGTGCAAAAGCACGTGTTGTTCTCAGATGTGACGTCATTTTGTATCAACACGACGTCGTTTGGAAGCAGTTCATCTGCCGAACACCAGAGGATCTTTACCCCAAAACTGAGCCGGCTGACCAGCCTGCAATTGGACATGCTACTTCCACGTAGAGCCCCCTGCAGCCTCATGGCTTTCTCTCTCCCTCTCGTTCTTAAATCCACCTCCTTCCTTTCCATACAAACTTCTCTCTCTATCTCTCCCTCAGAGGAGATACCAACTGAATAAGCTATGGAAACGTACCCGAAAGGTGCATGTTAAATCCTGTCTCGTTTGTTTTGCTGATTGATTTTTTTCTTTTCGAGTTTGTTGTTCCTGTGAACTGGGTTTTCATTGTTGAAAAATTGTTTGTTGTGTTGGGTTCTATGAAGATAATGGGGAGGCCATAAAGGATCAACGCAGAGAGCAGTGTTCCAAGGGAGCTTGTGAATACAACCCTTCAAAGCGTTCTTCAGATGACATAATCCCCCATATTCTGAACTTGTGAGTTCTATTTCTCGTTTTCTTTCTTTTTTTTTTTGTTTTCTGTTCTAAATTTCATTGTCCTCAAAAAAGCTGTAGCTATTACGTGTAGACCCATGATATCATGTACTGAATACTACACTCAGCAACTGTGTTGTGACAGAATCAATTGGGGTGCTTTTGTTTCCTTGCTAAAGAAATGAATTGATTAACTTAGTCTTGGTTTGTATGACAAGAAGATGGTGGAAGACAAAAGATCAACTTTTTGATGTTTTCTTTTTCATTTGATCAACTAACTAAAGCATTATTTGGCTTAGTTGAGTCTTTCTTATTTTATGATCAGAACTTATAGAGAAAATAAGAGGAAATTTATGCCCGTATTTTCTGTTCTGGAATTAGATTTGTTGTGAGGGAAAGAGGAGGGTGAGATTCAGGGTGGAGCAGGTATTCAGTTTAGGTGGGCACTTCAATTCCGGGACTTAATTAATAATTTTCAATTGATAAAAATATAATAAAAAATTTAACTTAGTTAATATTTTTCAATTGATAAAAATATAATAAAAAATTTAACTTAAATTAATATTTTTCAATTGATAAAAATATAATAAAAAAAATTATACTTATTTAGATAGAGATCAATTGTTGAAAATTAAAAATCAATTGTACGCCAATTACAAGTAATTCCATGTTTTCATTAAGAGTACAAACAAAAAAAAAATTGTAAATACTAAAATATATATTAATCACCAGAAGCTCTACTACAATAATAACATACCCAAAATAAGAAATAAAAACTCGTTGAGGTTCATAATTTGGGAAAAAACTCGTTAGTCAAAATTCATGAGTAAAAAGGCGTTAAAAATTAGCAAAGAAAAAGGTTATGGGCGGCATTGTAGTTGCCTCACTGAATCTCATATAAAGGCAAGAAATAGCTTGCCGGAGGCTCACACAGTCACCAATTGCGTATTCTTATCTCTTTGTTTCTCTCTAACTTTCTCAGTCTCTTATTGATTTTCGTTTTATGTAAAGAATCTCACTAGATTGCGATGTTTATATGGATATTTTTCAAATTCAAATGTTTTCTTTCTTTATTTTATGAACATGTTTCTTATATGCTTAGAAAATAATCCTATATTACCACATAATAATCTTACTTTTGATCCAATAATAAAAGAAGCTTGTAATTTTTATTAAAAAATGTTCACAAAATTAGTTTCAATGTATCCAAAACATATTCAAAAATGTCCGAAGCGTGTCTATACGTGCTCACAGGCCTTTTGTATTAGCTTATATGAACATATTAGGGTGAGCACCATAAATCAATCTGAAAAATATTTAATAGTGATATATGTGTATACATAAAAAAGAAGTGAATCTAAGCATGAATTTGTTCAGGCAATAAGGATATGTCAATAAAACTTCTTTGTGCTCTAGTCCATTCTAATTGGATCTATTTTTGTAATGACCAATATACCTTTAGTGACTCACGTTGATTTTCTTTCTTCTGTTGTTTTTCTTATATTTTTTCTTTTTAAATTATGTTTAAATCCAATGTCCAGTAGCAACTTTTGGGCTACCTTTGATTGCCTCTCTAATTCTATTATAATGAAGGCCAAGACTGCTTCCTTTGCATTGCCAACTTGAAATGTATCATGAAAAACTTAACAAATGAGAAAATCCATTGGCCAGAGTCCCTCATTGTTATTGCCGTAGTAGCCATTCTTTGCGATCCATGTGGTTTTGTCAAAGGCAGGGGTTTCGCCAGGATTGTGTTTTTGTGTGGTGGTATTCCCAAATGAAGATAGTGTGTAGAAAGAAGGGTAATTGTCTTTTTTGATGTTTGTGTCCTTTTTGCCCAAAACCTTATTTTCTTGGACCTAACGCCCCCATTTGTAATATTTTGTGGACCTACTGTCCCTTTTCCCAAAAAAAATTCCAAATTTTTAAGGTGGGCTTGGGGCGCCCTTGGCCCTAGTCTGCCTCTGCCAATGGTGAGATTCTTCTAGTTCAAGTGTAAAATAGGTTTTATTTTGTGCTTGAGTTGAGAGTATAAGATACTTTTTCAGTAAACATGAAATTGCTGCTACAATTTAACAATTTATGGAAACTCTTAGATTTATTGTTTTTGTTTTGCTTTTGTTGGGAACCATAAACAAGTGCAAAAGCTAACTTATTTGCGTTAATCTCAAGAGTCAAGACCTTGAAGGATGTTGTACATGCTTTCAGAAATCCAATATGACTGTCTTTTGCGTGATATGACGATATGGTGTTATTACATAAAGAACCGACACCAGATTTTCAAAACACAAAATTCTTCCAATGTTGGGAAGGGAGAGAGGGTGGAGGAGAGTTTCAGAATATGTTTTCAGTTTTCAAGTGTCTTGCACTAAATGCCACAGGGGATTTATGCTGAGAAACAAGGGGTACTATGAAGAGGCACCCTTTGAAGAAAGATGTGTGTTAAACGTCAACAGACAGTGTTCTTTGGGCATTAAGAGACACCTCCAAGGAGACATGTCATTTGAACATTTATTCTTTAATAGGGTCGACCCACCATGGATGCTCTCGTTTGAGTTCATTCCCAACTCAATATCCAACAGTTTTCTAATGGGTTACATCGAGGTTTTTATCGCAGACATCTCATTTGAGCAGTTACAAACTTAACAAGTAAGCTACACAACTTGCAATTGATTTTGTGTGGGAGGACGTAGGTTTAACTCCATGAATAATATTTCTTATGAAGTAAAACACATGATAGGGCTCTTTCAAAAAAATGTGTATTGCTGATATGAGGCTTAGTGTTGTTTTAGTCTTTTTTTGGTCACTGACCACATCAAGCAACAAGATGATTTGATGTCTCTTGGCCTCTTGTTTCTTATGAGATCTTCAAACATGTATATGGATACATAATCCACAAGCCACTATCTTTTGTCTTTGCCCTCTCTCCTTTTCAATCAGGGAGGTGTTCCCCCTCATGTTTGTCCTCATAAACTTGTCAAACTTTGGTAATACTAGAAAAAAGGTGCACAAATGCATGTAATCATTACCCAGGTTGAAAGAAAAAAAGACGAATTGAGATGTCTCACGCAATCCTACTTTAGGAAGTCACGTGCAGTTTATCTTGAGCAAGTGAGGGAGGAGCAATACTATTGGGACATAATTTGGGGATTCAATGATTGTGGCCATTGCATTATCAACAGGTCTCAATGAAGTTCACTATTAATCTAATTGCCACAATGTATTAAGTCCCAATAGATTTAGTGATTGTGGGAGATACCAAGTGTAGGTGGCTAGTTTTGTGGGAAATGAACAATTGCATTTGATCAGGTGTGAGAAACACCAAAAAGACCAAATATAGCTCGCCCTTCATAATAGTATTCCATACATCATGTTAAAAATGTTTGGCACATGCTCTCCAACCTCCCATAAATCTATGCAGACTCCTTGCTTTGGCCTTTGACATTCTTACATGCCTTTAGCTTATGCAACTCGAATTGAAAAGAATAAAAAGAGTTTTCTAAAATTTGATTAGTAATTATGATGGAAATCTGAGAGGCATGGAGAAGGATTCCCTATTAAGATTTGTATGGGTAGTATACTTTAATACATCATAATATGTGGTTCCTGAAAATTAGACTCTGATGAAACATCGCTCATTTTTGGCTGTCTCAGATTATGGGTTGTATATTTTCTATATACTGGATTCTGTTATAGTGTAGAGGGGTCACTCATTCCGTGGTTAAAATTGGGACCAATAACCTTGAATTTTTGGATTCAAACCCGAGGGCAGACTCTTTGTGTATATAATGTCAAATGTTAGGTTTGTATCCGGTCTACCCCTACTAGACCCTCGTTTATAGCATGGTAATTACATAATGCAAGGTGTACACATTTGTTTCTTGTTAATGAATACGTTTTGCACTTGTCAAGCATAATTTAATCTATCTTCACTCATCAGTCATAGTCCCACTGATTCTCTTCTGCAATTTAATATTAATGGCTTCAGATATGGATCATGTGCTAAGCCCAAAGATTTTGAGATCTATTCTCCGGATGCAACCTTTGAAGACCCCCTTATGTGTGCACATGGGTAAGCCTGATAGCGCAAGCAAACTGCTTTTTTCAATATGTCTCACCATCTGGAGAACTTCTTTGTTATAATGTTTAGAAAAAGTAGGAAGCATAATTAATGCTCTGTTTGGTAAGAAAGATAGAAAGTAGAAGGGATACACTTTTTATCCTTTAAATATGGAAAGTAGGAATGATACACTTTCCATCCTTTATGTTTGGTTGGATGGATGAAACATAAAAATGACCAATTTTTTTTTTTTAATTTTTTTTGTCTAATATTAGGAGGGACAATCGGGTTGTGTCGAGTCAGATTCATGTTGAGTCATAAAATTATGCGCTTTTTATATTTCGTGTTCGCGTGTCAAGTTATTTTCAAGTTCGTGTCGAGTTATAATCAAGTTCATGTTATAAAATTTGTGTCGAGTTCGATTCGTGTCATCGTGTTGAGTCAAAAATTTTCATCCCTAGTTAAGATGAAAAAAAATATTTTTTTTAATTTTAAAATTTTATTTTTATTTTTATTTTTAATTTTGATTTTTTTGAAAAAATATATATATAAATACATATTTTATCATTGTATTTTTATATGAAATTAATGTATGCATAATATATAGACAAATAAGATATATCTCAAAACAAATAATTAATTTTACATTCATTTTTCGTCTGATTTAAAGGGATTGATTTTGGTGAGTTGGAAGAAAAGTGAATCTATCTACTTTTTCATCCTTCCTATTTTCCTTTCTTACCAAACATGATGTTTATTTATCCATCCAACTTTTCATCTTTCTATTTTTTCATCATACCAAACGGAGCATAAGTGATAGAGCTATTGAAATGATCCCTCTGTTAGAAATATAAAATATCATGGTTAAAAAGACTTGTTATTGGGGTTAGAAATATAAATTATCAGGGTCAGAAAGCCTTGTTATTGGGGTTTGCTCTATTCCAATGTGTTTAGATTCAAAAGTTGGATGCATAATTGGGAAAACAAAACAGGAAATGAATTTTTGTATCTATAACTTTTAACTAATATTGGTATAAATTTGGTTGGATAATTATACAATTTATAAGACTCGGACATCTCCTGTTATGCTTTACTTTAGTTATATAAACATAGGATGGGACATTTAGATGAGCGATGACACCATTGTTTTTTTTATTTTTTATTTGAAGTGAGCATTCTATTGAATGGTGGGTTGGTTCCAAGCATGTTTCTTGCTTGCATATCGTGATTCAAGTATCATTGCTGGTGGTTGCTTATAATTTCTTAACATTGCATGCTCGAGAATTTTTCCTTTTATTGCAGGATAAAGCAGATCAAATCAGCATTCTATTCACTTTCCAAGGTTGTAAGGATGTAGCAATCTTTTCATTGTACTCTATTTGATACCTCTTATATTGTTTTCTCAACTGAATAGGGAATTTCTGTGGGTAAGAAAAATCTGATTACAGACAATTTTGGGACATACTAACAATATTTTGAAGTAGAGTCATTTCGTGCTTTCAACTGCTTAGATCAAAGGATGGGAATTGACTTTATTTACTACTAAATTTCTAGAATGCAGGAACTTCATGGACAAATTGATCCATTTTGTTGTTGTTTCATTGTTGGGCCTGATATATAATGTACTGACATGTTATATATGTCATAATCCTCTGAAGTACATAATATGCAATTATGCATATATAGTGTTTGACACCATTATTTGATACTAATGGATAAAGTTCTCTCTGGACTGTTGGGTAACTCGCAAGATAGTAATGTTGTAGTTAAGCCCAACTCTGCCTCCACGTCTATGTTGCTAATAGGGTTGCAACTTGGGTTGGGCAACCCGATTTTAACCCGAGCCCAACTCGAAAAAATTAGGGCTTGGGCAAGAGTTTTTAATACTTGGGTTGGGTTGGGTCAGGTCAAAAAATCCCAACCTGAATTCAATTTGGGTTGGGCTTGGGTTAAGGCCTCATGAACCTGAGTTTACCCAAACCCGACAAATTAAAAAAAAAAATTATATCTATATATATATATATAAAGCATTAGCACTGGTTTTTCATTTTTGTTCTATTGTTCTCTGTCTTTCATGTTCTCTTTGGCTCTCTCATTAAAAACTTGGCTGAAGTTATTGGTTGTTCATTTAGGTGAATATTATGTAATATATGTATTAGGTTTAAAACAACAAGTCTATTTTGGACTCTACCCGAATTTAACCCGTAAAGTAACCTGAATTCAACTCGAGCCTGCCCGAATTAAACTCGGGCAGTGCTTGGGTTGACTTCCCCAACCTGAGGTAGGGTTAGAGTTAGGATTGGGGTTGAAGATTATATACCTAGGGTTGATTGTTCAACCCGCCCAACCCATCTGAGTTGCACTCCTAGCTGCTAATACCACTGAAGTGATGCATGGGGATGCTATGCATGATAGAGTTCTGATATGTCGCCAAACCTATAATCTGAAGGGCAACTTTTGCACCGAAGTATAATCAGAAGACGACACTACAAAGTTCATACACAATAAAAACATTGTGGCATTTGGTGAATTTATTTTTCTTTAGAAGATGAACTCTGAATGTACGCAGATTTCAGGCCAGTTTATTTTCTTCTTTCTATTACACCAGTTAGTTGCCAAGTATGGTGGATTCTATCTTGTGTTTGTAGATTTTATAGCAGGGGATTGCTGTAACAGGTAATAACAAAGTCTATGTTTTCTGTCTTCTCAGGTCTTTGGTGAATCAAGGATCGTTGAATATAGCGTCAAAGAAAATATGATTTCACATGGAAAAAAAGAGGTTTGCAGTAAATGCTCCTACTTATTTTCTCGGAACTTATCTGTACAGCCAAATTTTGCATGTTCTACTTAGTTTTATAAGTTTGAACTTTGACTAATTGATTCAGATACTTATTGACAACAAGCAATACTACAAATTCTTGGGAAAAGAAATAAATATGATATCACTCATCAGACTTTATGTAGAGGAAGGGAAAGTCGTTCGCCATGAAGATTGGTATGAATTCGTTAACTGATATTGTTCCAAACTAGTCCTACATAGTTCTTGTACTTGACAAGAATTCTTAGATTTCCAATGCAATTTTCTTAATGGCAACTATTCTAAAATTAGTTACTTCAACTCTGCAAGTACATACTGTTTCATCAATTCAACAGGAGAAAATCTAGATTACCATCTTATGGTATGATCCAGTAACATTACTTTCCATTACGCCTGTCAATGAATTGGATTCAAGTAATGTTTTGATTAGCTTATACAGATCTATCTTTGAACTAGTCTTTGGTTAGATAATACAGTTCTATCTTTGTACTTGTCTTGTATTACAATGTTTATAATAATTTTCTTGCATTTCCGATATTAAATGTATGCAGGTGGGACAAGAAGCCGCTTTTGAATAGACAGACTGTCAAGCTACCACTCGTTGGCCGAATTGTAGAGATTTCTCGTAGGGGTTCAATGTTGGCAACTCATGCGATGATGAGGTTTGGAAAGGATCCAACTCTGTAAAATCACTTCAAGGAACGAATATTTATTAGTGTTCTGCTCCATAATTTTGTATATGCATGTGGAACTGCGTTTGTTGTATTTCTTGAGATTGTAATTAAGTGAGCCAAGATTGGCTTATTAGTCGGTCCTGGGAAACTTTGTTTTTGAATGGGGCATGCCAGAAGTAACAGTGACTTAGACTGTTGTGAAATATTGTTGAAGCATGAAAGAATTATACACCTTGAACAAATTCAAATTTTCCAATTATTTTGGCCCCATATATACATATACTATGCATTGTAACATTGTTTTGCAAATCTAAACAATAGGATGACCTTCTAGATTTCTAGAATTTTGTAAAACAAAATGGATAGGATGGCACTCATAGACTACTATTGTTGACGCTTTTAGAATCTTTTATACAATGATGTGAGCACGTTTATATCTTTCACTCATAACAAAGTAGCGTTGATATTGTTGCATTTTGCCAAAAATGTTGCTATCACATCATTGGGTATGGTATTTCTTTTTCAAGATATGATTTAAGAATTGTATTTTTTTTTTTTTAAATTGGCCATTTTTCGTTCAGTTTCAATGACATTAGTTCACTCTTTACAGATTACTTTTGCTGTTGGGGACATATCATCCGAGTTACTAAGACATGTAAAGACTAGAGTTGTATTATAAAACTAAGAACATGTAAAGAATAGAATTGTAAAGAGATAGGAGAATATAAAATTCTAGAGAGTTTGAGTGTGTTTGGGATGCTATGAAGTTTTATGTAATTGTGGTAAGTCATACAAGAAACAACAATAAACATTTGCTTAATGAAATCAAAACAAAGCATTTGTTGTAAAATTAGAAATCTTTTCTTTAATACTCAAAAACATCATTCAATCACATTCTTTAATGAAGAATGTGCATGAATGAACAATTCCTCCATCCCATGAGGCCTTTCCCCTCTACAAAATTTGGGTAGATAATATTTGGTTTCCTTATAAGGAGTAAGATAACCATTCATATTAGAGAAATTAGCGTCTATCACATAATATTTTTCTAAAATAACATAGAATCATTAGTTAGTGTATATAGTTAAGAATGCAAAAAAATTTAATCAACACATTTTTTACTTATACCTGAAGGTGATTTTGGAAAGTTTAAATGTCTATTACGAATGCAGTGTAGTAGTACTCTAGAGTCATGAGCCGTTCTTTCTCACACAACATTGACAAATGTGAAAACCATGTTAAAAGAATATGATGCCAAGACGGTTTGCGTGCATACTATCTTTCTACCTCTAAAAAGACTTTGTTTTGAAGCAGGAACATGAGCTCTAACATGTGTGTCATCAATTGCTCCTATACAATCGTTGGAATATGGATAGTATTTAGGATTCAATTTGATCTCTTGAGGGATGCAATTAAAATTTTGATGGAGCTTGATGATTTCCATTGACAATTCGGCCATCCGTAATAAAACATAATTGAAATGTTGACTTATTGTTTCCCCAGAATGTTGAAATCACTCTTGCATCATTCTATTTCACTCATTGTAACCAATAGTGCTTAAAAATATAGCTAACTTCTCTAGACTTGACACGTTTCTGCTATCACACAATAAGTTTTTTTCTTTCATTAACTCGCACAATGAAATAAATACATGTTTTTTCATTCAAAATTATTCAAGGGTACATGATGACGGTCATTAAGAATCTTTAACACATATTGATGACTATTTACGGAAGAAGTCCTACACGACATTTTACTCCTGTGCATTGTAGTTGATTTTCTCAAAAGTTATATGACAAGTATTGTAAGACATATAGGTGGTGTTTGGTTTGGGTCTCAAAACCTGTTTTTTATTCTCAAAACACAAAAATTTGTGAAATGTTGTTTGGTTAGTAGTTTCTAAAAATAAATTAAAAAAAAAGTGGGAAATAAGAAAAAAAATAGAGAATTTATTCTAAGCTTTCAGGCCAAAATAGAAAATAAGGGAAACAGCCCCTCCTCTTTAATGAGGTCCACCTATCAAACTTCCTTAACAGCAAAACACATTTTTTTTCATTGAAGTATAAAAGCCCTCCACTTATGTTTTCTCCGTCTCCTCTCTCTACAACGATCTCCTCTCTCTCTCTCTCTCTCTGTGCAACGATCCCTGTTCTGCTTCAACTAAGTAACAAAGACCAGAGCAACAACTATGTCTCTGTCTCTCTCTCTCTCTCTCTCTCTCTCTCTCTCTCTCTCTCTCTCTCTCTCTCTGTGCAACAATCGTTGTGCTGCTCCAACCGAGTAACGAAGACCAGAGCAACAATCGTTGCTTCAACAAAGCAATGATCATTGGGTTCAAGATCGGGTTTCAACAATCACTAGATTCAAGATCTGCCTTTTTTTTCTCTGCATCTGGGTTCAAGATTTGGTTTCAACATCTTTTTCTTCAAATTTTGTTTTCTTGGCATCTAGCTTCAGATCTTGAAGGAGATACATGTAATGGGTTTTCTGGGATACGAATTTGTGGATCTAATTTTCTAGGTTACGAAGTATATTGATTGATTTATGGGTTACAAATTTGTGTATCTAAATTTTTTGGGCGACTCGAATTCCTTGTTGATTGAACGATTGGGAGTTCTAATAGCTTAATATATATCAATTTGTCGTGGACATCGTTTCTGATGTAATTTGGCCATTTGGGGATTTTGAGACAATTAAGAGATGATTGCTGCTTCAACAGAGATTGATTTTTTTTTTTCTGTATTTTATCAAGTTTAATATTAAAATATTTTATATGAAACAATCAGTCCAAACAAGTTTTTTGTTTTTTATTTGTGATACTATTTTTAGAATCATCTAACCAAATATGTTTTTTGTCTCAGAAAATATCAAAATAATTTTTAAAAACTCTTCTCAAAAATTATTTTCGAATACTATTTTTGGAGATACAAACCAAACATGCCCATAGTTGTTAGATTTGATCTGCACAACATATCCAAAGCAATGAAAAAAAAAATATAAGCATTGACATTTAGATAAATTTTAGTATCCTATGTCTATCCAAGAGTCCAACATCAATTTAATAAAAATCCAAACGTCATCAAAACAAAGCTCAAGTATTACCATCACAGTAAAGCTTAGTGTTCAAATAAGCTCAAGTAACAAAATAGTCAAAGTAAATAGTAGTGTTCAAAACAGACAAAACATTTGAAACTTTATCTAAAAAAAAGAACCTAAACAAGTCCACAATAGAAAATAAACATCTAAATTTGAAAAAAACACCCTACTGACTAGTGTTTCCTCCGTCCCTCATATACTCCAACCATGCATCATGAACACAGGTTCAAGAAAAGTCGTCCATGTT